AGAATTATATATATTTTTATCGTTAAGAAGATACTGGATGACCGAATTTAATTGATGTTGAAAACCAATTCCTAATTCCAAAGAAAAAAAACATTATATACAATTTTTGCTCTATTATATTCTATGTATCGCATGAATATAATTAAGATTTTATGTACACGCAGATCGTACTTTTCCATTTACTTTTCTTGTAAGCTTCAAATCATAATTTGATGATCTGATCATCATTACATTTCAGAAAGCACAAAGTCGTTTAAAAGATGACTAAAAGATAATTGAAAGTCTGATTGCACCAACGTTACTTTAATTTTAAGGGAGGCTTAAAACTCTCAGTCTCTCTATCGGCTTCAAAAAGAGATTTTTAAACTTCACTTAAAGTCAAATAACATTGGTGCAATCGGGCCTAAATTGATATAAAGATAAAAAATGTATTATTACTAGTAAAAAAATGTAATCGACAAAAACGCGGCGATGAACGTCGCATTGCTTAATTTCTATAATAAGAGTTACGCAAATCCGCCAAACATAATAACCAAACAAGCGCAAGTTTCAAATATTCCGTATTTGACACAATTCATCAACGTACTTGACATACCTTCATCAACACTTCAATTGCTTCGTCGACATCCTGAATTTTATCCAAGAATGGCATGATTTTTATTTCACCGATATCATTAGAACTTGTGCACATTTGTGTCATGACGTATGTCATGTGTGTCAGTCGTAGCCAACTTACTGACAAAATCAATGTTACCAACGTTAATTTGACTGTACATGGCGGCAGTTATTCTTATTTTTTACATTATTTTGGCGTTTACAGAAACTCTACATCTTTATATGATCTCTCATCCAGTTATATGATAAATGACTTCTGTAGATATTATACATGTATATATTTTTTAGTCATCTTGAATGCCCGTATTCATAGTCAGGCCTTATATTATTATATTTAAGGCTTCCTTAAATTTATCTTCAGAATGCTCTACGAATTATTTTTCTATGTGCGCAGAAACCATTAAGTACTTTCATCATAAAGCCCTTTGGAAAATGGTTATAAAAAAAATCTTTCATTAGTGTCAATTAGAATGAAAGACCTCATAATGCTTCCGGCACACCAATGCGATATTCATTGCGCGCGATACGCGATATCCAATGAGTGTACAGCTTTACCGATATTCTCATTCTAAAGGTACACTGTCATTGGATATCGCGTGTCGCACAAAACTAACATCACGCTGGTATGCCGGAGCCATAAGCCTTTTATTTTATTCTAGTTTATATGATTAAATTAGAAAGAACCACCATCACACAATGTCGTCTACATCTCTACATATCTATAATAAAACGGCATTTGCACTCCGATAGTTTTAAAAGCACTAGCTTCCAAATCTATAATGACCGATGAAAATGCACCTCCTCCTGCCGTGCTGACTGTCATTAGCCTTTAATTTCTTTATTGTTGTTACTTTAAAGATTGAGAGTCCTTTTAAATTATTTTGTTTCTTCTTAAAATATTTAGGACCACAAAGCAAATAAAATTTTTTGGAATCTCTGGAAGTTTGCTCGCAAACGGTTCGTTTAAGAAGCATATTGATTTAAGTTATAAAATTACAGGAATACAAAATAGGTCTGAAATGATAAATTAATAAACAAATTATCACCTAATAAGATCAACAAACATTTTGATTTTTAATAATCATCTTTAATTTTGTTATAACACAAAAATTTTAAATCTGATATTATTTAACATCCATCTAAAAGGATTTCTACTTACAAAGCAATATATATTTTAACAGATATATTTTATCCTACAGAGAAGAAACGATAATATTAAAAAGCTGTATACACAATTTTAAGTAAAACAGTTTAAACTAAGATTGGACAAATAATTTTATTAATTCTTGAAAGTAACGAAATAGTATGATAGGCTTATGATTATAAATATAATTAATTGAGACTTATTATGTAACATACAAAATCACATTAACAAATACGATTAAATATCATGCTTCTTGATAAGTATAATTATATCTTTTTCCTTAGCAGACTATACATTATATTATATTTATCTTTTTTATATTAGAGTTGGGATTTAATTCCACATTTATTAATGATTTTATTGTCGACACATCTATTGTGCTTTTCTTGCCTTTCGTATCTTATAATTAACAACGTGTCATCAAACGCTTGTAAACAAGACCCATGCCACATGACGTTCATCTCATTTTCTCAGGAGCCTTTATACTATAAGTACTATAAAATGTTAATAATATTATTACAAATATACTATTTTAAAAATTTTATAATATTTATTTAAATCCAAAAGATAAAAAAATTTTAATTAATTTAAAAAGAAATGTTTTAAATAACTCGATATTACTCAAAGAGATTAACACAATTCCATCATATTTATAATACGAATATTTCTGAGATGAAACATCATGGCGTCTTATTAATAGCTCATTGCTAATTGTAAGATACTTATGACAAAAGAGAGACAGTAGGCATCAACAACGAAATCAAAATGTTTAACTAAATCTCAGTTGTTAAAATTTATATCGATAGAAGCGAAGACCTTTTGACTACTCTTCTTAAATTGACGCGTAAATATACACACGCGCATTAAATGAAATATACATCTAATATATAAATCGTATATCATTTCATAGTATTATGAAGAAATTTATATTGAGAGAGTATGGATTAAAAGTATATAAAACGACAAGTTTCGGTGGGCATGAGATACATACAAAATAACAATTATGATAAATGACGACGAACTAAGTGATTATATATATATTTCATAGCCCAGCGCGCTCGTCCTTTGTGTTTGAATCCTGGCATGAGAAGAACCACAATCACTAAAAAATAAATCAGATAAATCACTAAAAGTAGTACAGATACAAACAGATAAAGAAAATAATGGTAGAAATTTTACCTATGATGTAAAGCAGAAGCAAATTATTGATAGTGTTACCGATCCAGGCGAAAAGAATGAGAAAGAGGATCGTTGCACTGTAATACTACAATAAAAATAAGAAAAATGTTACATGTAATTTTTTACTTTCAAAATGTGGAAATAAAATATAAAATGTTCCTGATATCAAAAATCCTATATATAAAATATTTCATAAATATTTTATAATAGCAGGTATCCAGTAAAATAAAATAATCTCTTATAAAAAGATATTTATCTGATTTATCTTTCATGCAAAAAACAATAAACTTTTAATTTTTGATAGATATACACTTATAATTTACTTACAATATTAGGACGATCGTGTCGAATTTTCGAGATAGACATCCATGCACTTTGCAATTGCAACATAGTGGTAGAGAGATTTTGACAAATCTCAATTAATTTTTTCTCTTTCTGTCCAGTCCAACTTTGTGCGTTGCATAATACCGAAATCAAAATCGGTACAAGATAATCAACAAGAGCGAATACTAATAGGCATACAGATATCATCGTCAGAAGAGCTGGTTCTAGAATCCATATAGCACTGCAATAAGAAAAACATTAGTAATTTTACACAACACTTTCAACAAGTTTACATCCCATAATATTCCTATCAAATGTTTAAAATCTAACTTCCTTTTGGCCAAATCAAAAGTAATCTTTTTTAAAACAAATATACCAAGCGTGAATGTACCTTATTGATGTTTTTATATATAACATACATCTTAATAATTTATACATAAATCACATTAAAATTATAAATGTTTAAAGCTTATTTAAACCTATTCAAGCATTAAAAATTATTTAAAAAATTAATCACAAGACATAAGCCACCATCTGTTGTTTTTTTAATTATTAATAACTAAAACATTTTATAGATGTTTAAAAATTTTGATTTAGAAAAAATCAATTTGAAATTGAAGAAAAAATTAGCAGTAGAAAAACATTTAGTGATATAGTTTATATTATTACCAAATTTTTAAATATAATTTTATAATTTAATTGTAACCGTTAAATACAATTTAATTAATATTGTAATTAAAAAAAGCATTTCAGATTTATAATAATAAATTTTGTGTAAGTATCCAGTCATAGGCACGTCCAATTATTCGAACCTTTTATCTAAAGTTTGTTTTCATTGCTAAAAATCTCCAAAAGTTTACATACTTGAAACAAAATGAACCTGAAATACTTAAATAGTGAAAAGAGAAAAAGCAAAGCTATTAAATACACAAAAAGCATACGCAACGCAAACAAACTTATATACGCACAAACACATACACCTTAAAAACAATTTTCATTTTTATGAGATTGATTCATTTACCAGAATATCACTGTTACAAGCCCGACAATTAATCCAGGATGCCAGCTGCGTTCCCACAAGAGAACGGAATTTAAAGGTAAGATTATCTCGCGCCAGCATTCCATCTTTCGCTTCAATTGCTTCATGTGTTTTTCCTATGATAATTTCGCATTATCAGTCAACGAGATCGTGTCTCGCTCTATCATTGATTTTTTACCAGGCATAGAAGCGCGTGTCATTTCACAAAAAACGTGTTTTCTAGCTGATTCCAAGTCACCAATTCACAATTCGACAGAATCGACTCACCTTTTCGACCGTCCCGTCGTCCGTCATCGCGCAGAGATTTGTGATAAACGCGGCGTTTTAATTTGCTTTATAGCGGCGGGGATCTGGAGGGGAAGACCAGAGAAGATGTACGACACGCGTAGGAGTCAATCAACAGCAACACAGAAGATGGTTTCGTTCCACTAGCGGTTCCTTATTTATCCACTACGTATCATCATTCTGAGCTACAGTCTGCAGTCGCGACAAAAAATAGCCTAGAATCAGTTCGTTCGGCTAGCGATTCGTTCGCGCTTTCAAGTTAAAAAAAAACATGCACAAATCAAGCCGGAGGACAGGTCGTACGGCGGCGGTGGCGTTGGCGGCGACGACCAACGACGGCGCAATGATCGGCGAGGGGGAAGAAGGATCGACTTCTGGTATCGAGAGTACCCTGGCACGCGATTGGCTGTCAGTTCAAAATGTTGGTTATTGCAGGCGATGCCGTGCTGATGTTGTGACGTTAAGTGTTTTCCTACGCCGTGCGCCGGGAAGCTGAGAGAATCGCGTAGCCTGCGCGCGAGGCCTGGGCGAGATCACGCTCCGAATTTACGGCGATTATGGCTGCTGCCGCCGTGAGCTCCGTGAGTAATAGTAATCTTCCACTGGTCAGCTATCGCAGAAACGTACAATTCGATATTCATTCGTCGCGGTGTCCCGTCGCCGCGGCCACTAGCCGCCACCGCGACCGTATATAGCGAGAAATGCTTTCTTGTTTACATTCTGCGCGTTTCAATCATCCTCGCTAAAACATGTGTGAGATTGGTACGTGCGTTTTTGCAGAATGTGGAAAATCTGTCGCCACAAATCATCCGCCGGGTAGCCAAGGAGATGGCAGAACTGGCCGCGCAAACACCTGAAGGTATTCGTGTCATTTTGAACGAGGCCGATGTCACCGACATACAAGCCGTCATCGAAGGCCCAGGTAACATTAGTTGTCTCTCATTTAGCCTCCTCGTTTCCTCGCTCTTTTGGCCTCGTTGACAAAACTGATTATCTCCGAGCAAAGCATACTTTTATCGACTATACATTACCTAACCTAACCTGGTCGTCGTCCTAACCCTATAACACCTTTTACCTCGGCTGATATCCGTGTATGTCACTGTCGAGAGCATACAACTCTTCTCATATGAGCTTTTCAACCTTGATTGTTATCATCATTATCGTCGTGTTTCACAGGTACAATGTGATGATTAAAATAAAATAGATATAGAAATTAGAAATATTTTATAAAATGTATATCACTGACTTTATGCAAGACAATAATATGATAAATAAAGGTTTAATGCCTATTTTCACCAATACCAATTTACTTTAATCTTGGTTTAATTTACTCTTTATATTTTTCTAGTTCTAAAGATTAGAAAAAGATAAAAAGTAAGTTGAACTGAGATTAAAGTAAATTGGTATTGGTGAAAATACTAAATTGGTAAGTACAAGTATAAGTGAAAATGTACCACTTTTTATTCTATTATGTTCATAAAACATATTCATTTAACAACACTGCAACAAAATATAATAAAAATACAATAAAAATAATTGCTTGAATGAATAAGAATTTTTCAATGATCTATGCTCGTCAAATTTGACTACAGAATTAGTATGACAAAAGATCGGATGATAATAGTTAGGTTTAAAAGTAATAATATAGCATATTGATATCTATATATTTCTTTTTAATAGCGGGGACTCCATATGCCAGTGGTTACTTTAGAGTAAAATTAGTTCTTGGAAAGGACTTTCCACAGGGACCGCCAAAGGCTTACTTTCTTACAAAAATTTTTCACCCTAATGTAGCAAAAAATGGCGAAATATGTGTCAACACTTTAAAAAAGGATTGGAAACCAGATCTTGGGATACAACATATATTATTAGTAAGTTATCACTAAAGCACAATGTTGTAAATGTTTGCTTATGTATTCTTACGTTTCTTTTTTTTATATTTTTTAGACTGTAAAATGTCTACTAATAGTGCCAAATCCAGAATCTGCTTTGAATGAAGAAGCTGGCAAATTACTTTTAGAAAGTCATGACGAATATTCAGAGCGAGCAAAAATGATGACTGAGATACATGCACAAGTAATGTCTTATTTCGACAAATGAGTTTGTTTTTCGCAATTTCATCATTATAATAATTTTTATTTTTATGAAACTTTTATTTCTTCAGGGAGGTGGAAAAGGAAGCAAGGCGGGTCTGGAAAGTTGCGCCTCTTCGGACACTGGAGGACCTCTTCCAAAAAAACATGCAAGTGATAAGAAATTAACAGCGGAAAAGAAAAAAATGTTAAAAGATAAGAAGAGGACACTGAAGAGACTATAAAAAAAATTAATATTATTTCTCCTGTCTTTTGTAATTTAAAATACTAGTATGATAATGTTGCCTCGTATTGTATACAATTATTATTGCATAGTAAAATTTTATTATCTAAACTTGACTGATCTTATTATTAAGTATGTAGAGAATTTAATATGTCTAGATACATTAAAAATAAGAAAAAGATAATATAGAAACAAAAATTGATCTCCCTTCCCTAGAAGATTAGTGTTCTGTAGTGATCTGTACAATCAGCCTGAATTAGAAATCTGTTCTATACCATCTATTAGCAAATATTTTTACATATGTACAGAATAATATACTTGTGATTACTTAAGTAAAATAAAGAAAATGTCTCCTATGTGTATAGCATTTTTTTAATCAATTTTGATAAATGTGTATTCCCAATAATTGCATATCTCTTTCTCTGTACATATACCTCTACCTCCTCCTTTCCTTCTACTAACTTGTATATTTTAATATATCTGTATTTTTTTAACACATTTTACAATATATTTTTAGATATTTTATAAAAAAGATACAGGATCAAATATGAGGTGAAAGGATAAAATTATTAGGAATTTTTCTTTTTTGATGGATAATAAAAGTTTTCTTTTAAAAATATTTTATTAAAAGAGAATCTGGTGATAGTTTTTCTTCAGTCTTGCGGCACTTAGTTTGACTGCTATTTGTACGCTGCATGATCAAAAATGTATACATGGTCTTACATATCCATCACTGTGCACTAAATATCGTCAATATTTGACTAGTTAACAGTATGTCACAGCCTTAATCCACTATTAATTATATACTACACATATATAGATATAATGCTTATGTTTAAGCTAAAGAGATTCCGGACACATAGTTACATAAAAGTGTAGACATTTATGCATTCTAAGATTCCTAAGTAAATTATCCTAAAGATGGATTTTGTAAATCAATTTCTGACATAGCATTTGGAATAATCAGATTGTGAGGGCTAGAAGCACATTCCGTACTTTGATAAACAACAACTTTTCGAGATGTATCTCATTGTATTTTTCATCTGGTGAACACACACGCACGGTAGTACATACAAATTCATACAGTCTTTACAATTCATGTAAGTATGTTCTTTCTTAATTTTCTTGCATCACTATATTATGAAAAAAATCTATGAACTTCTACAATGTTCGCAAAGATTTTGTAAAATTTGCTGTGCCAATTTTTGAAAGAATCGTCAAAAATAAAAACTAAGTTGATTTTTGTATAACTTTACTAAATTCGTATAGGATTAGATTTATAACTGTATATTTCATGAAAGAAATAGCAACAATGTGTATTGTGTTAGTCACATTGAACAAAATTTGAATGTAGCAATTTTATAACGTTGTTACTTGACTTCCTTCACATAAGCTTCCAGTTCTGCATCTAATTCTTCGGCCGTAGGTGTCTTCGTCGTTTGTCGAGTTCCTCCTCTACCTCCACGTCGACCTCCACTTCCACGACCTTAAATTCCATAAAATTATAATATTTTATAGGAACTAATAAAAAATTGTTAGATACTTTTATATAACACAATCACAACTCGTAGAAAAAATATATAACTGAGTATTCGATACTATTAATTTTATTATTTTTTAATTTGCATAAATCAATTTAAAACAATATATACTAAATTGCATTAATGAGTTACCTCTAATAGATCCTGTGCCGCGATTTCCTCTAAAACGTGCTTGAGGTCTTTGTGTATAATTAACACCGCTAAGTCTCGGACCACGAACAGAAGTGATTGGTAGTTCAGAAGTAGCTACTTGTATATTCATTTCACGTCCTGTCAACATAATTATATATTGGAATGAAAGATGCAAAATGTCTGTATACATGAATCATAATCCACCAATTTTTTTAGCACAAGCTTTCTGAACAATAGATTAATAAATACTACCTAAATATAAGCAAAATTCTGCAATTGAAAAAATATATACAATACAAATAAATATAATCAAATGTAAATACATACCATCTAATGGAACTCCATGATACTGTTTCATTGCTTTAATAGCATCTGCTCGTCTTTCAAATATGACATCAGCAGAGCCTAGAGATCGACCTGATCTATCATAATGTACTGCTGCTGATTTTAAAGGTCCAAATTCACTGAATAATTCCTAAAAGATATCATTATAATTACTTTTCTATAGAACTTTTCTATATAAAAGTGTTTTTTTTTTAAATTAAATCTACAAAAAATTTATATATTGATTGAATTTAACATATTAAGGGTTACATAGTCAAAAACATTTATCTCCATTTTTCAGAATTCGCATGTTGATATATCCAATAGTTACGCATTTTTATATTTCATATGACAGTTTATCGATAAATTAAATTTGTTTTATCTATATTGGCCAACTGTTTAATTTTATAATACACTAACTTAATCAGGACTAAGTATTTTTATTGTTGGATATATTACTACTTACAAATGTTATTATAAGAGATCCTTATACAGACAATTAAAAATTCAAAAAGAAAAATGAATTTATGGAGTATAATATTTAATTTAATATCAAATTATGTGATGCTCAACATGTTCAATATTGTTAAAAAATTATTTTACATACAATATTCTAATACCTGTATGTCTGAATCTGATACACCAAAATCAAGATTTGATACCAAAAGTTTAGTCGTTCCTGCACTGCCTATTGCACCACGACCAACCTTTTTTACACCATCAAACATATCATGTTTCCAAGCACTGTTTACATCTCCCTGTATAACAAAATATAAATTAATGTATTGGAAAAGTACTATATTCTTTATCAAATAACAAAACCTTTTTTTTGTTATTTCTTTTTTTGTTTTTTGTCATTTCCTCAATTAACAATATAATATTTTATTGTTCTATCGTAGAGAACTAGACCTACTGAAAAAAGCTTTTATTCATTATATTGTAAGTAATCAACGCAAGCTACACACCTCTCACAGATATGAAATCTTATTTAACTACACCATTATATATTTTCTTATTAAAAATCATAACATAATAAAAAAAAACTTTAATAACTCAAAATTTAATTTATATTAATTTATTGAAAATAAAAACATAAACGAGTAGAAAATATAATAAATAAATATATGTAAACAATAAAGAAAAAAAGGAAATAAAGACAAATAAAATATTTCCAGCTGACAGCCGTTTACATCGTTTTTTTAATAAATGATCGTATATAAGTAAGTACTTCGAAGTCATACTCTATGCTCCAACGTTCAGTTTTAAATACACATATACACGCGCGCGCGCGCGCTCACACACACACATATACATGCATGCACAAGCGCACAGGAATACGTATAAATGAATAAGTATAGTGTCCTATTAAAGAATTCAATAGTCGTAAAATTTAGCCTTGTATCTTACCCTCGTGTACGGTAAGGAGCTGCGTGCAATTCCACCGCGATTACGTCCTCGCATAACGCCACCGCTGGCTCTCTGTACCCTACGTGCTCCTCGACGAGGTGAACTCCCAGCTCCTCTGCCGCGTCTACCGCTTGCTCCGCCGCCGCCGCGCGCCCTAGACCCTTTGGTCTGTTTAATAATATCGTCTAGACTCATTTCAATCTTATCTACCATCTTCATTTGTACGGCTTGTGATGAAACGTAACTGCTATACGAGGGAAACACCGACGTAAATGAACCTGACAATATTTCTCACTGTATCGCTTCTTCTTGTGATGATGGCGGTAGAACCAGGTAGTCTCGGAGACAAACCCCCGACGCAGCACAACCGCAGAGCAATCTGGGTATTTTGGGTAGTGCTTGGTATTGTGCTAGTTATGGTGAGAGGTTAAGAGAGAAAACTGCATAGATAAATTTATCACGTTGATGCTACTGACACCAGAGAGAAACTTGAGAGTGGACATTCCAACCTTTTTCGTGTACCAAATCTCGTAGGGTAATGTCCATGTTTTTGTGGTTCTTTTCCATGCTATTACGAGAGACAAAGACGAATAATCAAAGTTGACTAATAGCATCGACGAGATACTATTAAAGATCCTCGGCGCTTATAAAAATTTGCACCTGTTAAAATTTAAGGACCGATTGTTCCACCTTTTTGTAAATTTTATCTGTGAGATAAATCTGGTAATATGATTGGGTAATCTTGCTACTTACCTCCAACAAGATACTATTAAAGACCGACATTCTTATGGGAGTTCGCGTGAATATTGAAGTGATTAAAAGTTAAAAACTGATAATATTGTACTTATTTTATGATTTATTAGTTTAATAGACATATTTATGCATTTAAAACTCAATAATACTCGATTTTTCTTTAAAATTGTGATTTCAGTGTTATCGTCAAAGTTTGATTATCAACAGAAATGATAACTGCAGAGAAAACAAAATTGTAATTTTTCTACAATATATAGGATATTACAGCTTTACAAGTATGCATATTTATTTATGAAACATTTATGTAATAAAAAATCATGAATTTAATGTATAAGCCAAATATTTATGTTAATAATATCAAATTTATATCAATTGTCGATAATGTCAGCGTTCTTCAATTACCTCCGGGCTCTTGGGGCCCTTTTTATATCGCCGAAAATTTACCCAGGGTTGACAATCTTTAACAGTATCTCGTTGGTAATAAAGATGATAACTGCAGAAAAAAATTGTTACTTTTCTCAATATATAAGATATTATATCATTAAAAGTATGCATACTTATTTATACAGCTTTTATATAATAAAAAATTACAAATTTGATAACATACCACAAAAATATGTTAATAATCAGCATAAATTTTTATTATCAGTAACGTCATCGTTCTTCAATTATCTCCGGGCTCCCCGGACTCCATTGATTGTCACGAAAATTTGCCCAGAGCCGAGAGTCTTTAATAGTATCTCGTCGGTGCTGATAGTCTACTCAGTCCCTCCACAAAAAAATTTTTTTTAACTAAACAGAATGAGCGCAACAATTTTTTTGCATTTTACGAGTGCATAAATAGCGCATTATTATATATAAATTATTTATTTATTAAGATTTGGTTAAGTAGGG